TGTTTTTAATTTTATATTATCATACTTTCATAATAAAGATATTGCGAAACTACCGCACTTTAAAAAAAAAAAAAAAATTTTTATAAATAATTTATCCATTTTTATATATAATTTATCCATTTTTAGTAATTATTTGTGCACATTTTATGCTGTGTAATATGTGCACATAAAAATTTAATGTGCATATGAATTTTACACACTGCTCAGAAGTCTAACATTCTATACAACATTTTCTCATTTTAAATATATTTCACTAGGTAAATAATAATATAAAAGTTGTGAGATTCAAGAGAATTCAACAGATATTATTACACTATATTGTAAGAGTTTCAAATTTGCTAAATATACTTAATCATATTTCATTACAAGAAATACAATGTGTAAATCCCTTGAAAAAGTATTATAAAATGTATAAAAAAATTTATTAAATTGTGTAATAATTTTCTTATATAGGATAGTCGTATCTGAGATCACGAATATGAACTATAGTGGCACCTATAGCTGAGTTATCAAAAACATTTTGTAATTCCTAGTTTTTGTTAGTAAACTTTCTATTATACCACTTTCACACTTCTCTCTTTACTGATTAGTCTAATATATTACAAATTCTTGCTTTATCATTTAGACTTACTAAATGAATATATACTATAAAATCATTTTTAAATATTTCATGATCCTATTCAAAACTGCTTAATTTAGGCATTATAAATCCCGCAGGTAAATTATGTTTATTTGATTTGGTGATTATTCTGTAATACCAAAATTTGTTCCTGCAAATTTAAAATATTCTGCTAAGCATCATGGGTATTATTCTTTCATTTCTTATATCACTCATAAAGCTTATTTATATTATAATCTAATAAACCCTATTTGCTCTAAATCGCTATAAATTGTAAACATTTTGTTGATATAATAACTGAATAACAAAGTTTTCTCGGAATAATTCACCAATACAGGTTTGTTTTCTTACTATATTACCTATCATTTTATTTACCTAGTTTTGAGCATTAGTTTGATATTGATAAAGATCACTAATAGCCCTTTATTCTATCCCTTTAGCAAGTTATCTTCGTATAATTTTATTATTACACTCAACTTCTATATCATATTGTCTTCTCTGCTTCTGGACTATATCCTGATACAGATTATTTTCTTTTTAACAAATTTACCTTGTTGCTCTTTTTATTTGATCTATCAGAATATCTCTAGCTATTGCTCTATTATCCAGATAACCATCTATAGCATTTTCTAGCTCTGTGATGGTAGCCATTTCTAAGTTAATATTAGGATTATATAAGTCTGGAGAATTATCCCACTCTGGAGAATTTTTTCGTGATGAGATAGTCTTGATCTGGTATCACAATTTTTCTACCTTCTTCTCAGATTCTACTAACTGCTTTTCTAAGCTAGAGATATATCTATCCTTATCTCGCACATCCTTTCTAGCTTGATATAACTAATTTTTAAGCTAGAGAGTTTAGACCTCAGCTCTATTATCTCTTTCTTCAAAGCATTCTCAAGCCATTCTATTTCCTTATTAAGATCTTAGATTTTTTACTCATATTAGGTATATTCTCGTTCTAGTTAATTAATTTGTCTTTTATTCTGGTAATTAATTTCTACCTTTGATTGTAATACATCTTGAAGATATGAGTTATCCTTCTCCAGCTCAGCTTTATATTCTTCATATGTTCACTCTACCTTAGATGAGGTCTGCAGAATAACATTATTTTTTTTCGTAATTATAAAAGAAAATAGAAAAACTGGTTATTTATATTGATCTTTAAAAAACGCAAGAGTTAGATCAGGATCTTGCTTTACAGAAACTTTATTATTGATCTAAAGGTTACTATCAGACTGCTGAAAAAATGCAAATTACTTATAAGAAAGTCAGATATGGATTCATTTTGGCTGTTATAAAAAATTGGCTTAACAAATAGGCTTTATATCAAATTTACAAGCCTCAGCCAAAATTTATTCAGTATGCCTTTTTTAATAATATACAATTTTTAAATGAAATGCACTAATCTGATACTACTCCTATGCCTCATAATAAAGTAGATAATCAGATTTGCAAGTATAAGGACGTTATCAAGATATTGCAACTAGTTATCAACGTAATTTTACATTAACTGATAAATCTTCTGCACAAATAGCTAAGAAATTCAAAAAATTTACAATGACCTTAATGATCCTCTTAACCCACCTGAAGATTTTATTGTAGATAGAGGTACTGAATATATAAGCAAATGTAAAGATTTATTATTCAGTTATAATATAAGAATTCAGTATGCTAACTCTAAATGTGATGTAGCTATTGCTGAACACAACCATCAAGAATTTGAAAAATATGCTTATTTCGGCAAGATGCTGAAGATTTTCATTTGCCTTTGACTGATAGATCCAAGGCATAGGTTAAGAAACTTCGTATAAATGATAATATTTACAATATTACTCCTACTCGGTTAATAGGTATGTTTCCTAACGAGGCTGTAAAAAGGCATTAAAAGGTAAAAAAATAATAGCTAGACCTTCTATCAACCATAGAAGACCAGTTGGTTATAATGAACCTTTTTTACAGAAGTTCATCACCTTTAGAATCTGGCAAATTAGAAAGTGAAAAAAAGGGCAACTGATTGCAATTGGTCTCCCGAAGTCTTTACAATTGGTTCTTATTTGATAAAAGAAAATTAGCCTATTCTCTACAAGCTTTACAAGGGTGCTAAACGTTCATTTGTAAGAGAAGAACTTCAAATTGTAAAAGATGCGTAATTATCCTCTCAATGAATACTCAATAATTAGATTTTAAATATTTAGATAGATGATACAAAATTTCCTTTAAAAATATGAGATGCAAATTGACATTAATTGATGCTCAAAATATTGCTTTAGAAAAAGGTGAACAATGTCTTTCTGAATATTATATTAATAATAAAAGTTCTTTACATTGGAAATGTGTCAAGTTTCACAAATGGAAATCTGCTTTATGTGATATAAAAAGAGGTAGATAGTGCCTATATTGTGCAAAATGTTTTAAACTTAATATTGGTATTGCTAAAGAAATTGCGTTTAAAAAAGTTGGTATTTGTCTTTCTGAAAAATATATAAATAGCTATACACCACTTTTCTGGCAGTATACAAAAAAACATGAACGATAAGTTCCTTTAAAAAGAATAAGAAATCATAATCCTTGGTGTCCTAAATGTGTAGTAGATACTCAAAGAGTTGGTTTAGATTTAGCTAAAAATATAGCTCGATTTAAGAATGGCGAATGTTTATCAGATGAGTATATTAATATTCATACTCCATTGCAATGGAGATGTTATCAAGGACATATTTGGCATGCAGTTTTAAATACAATAAAAAATCAAAATTCATGGTGTCTCAATGTGCAGGATGTTCTAAACTTAATATTAATATTGCTAAAGAAATTGCTCTTAAAAAGGGTGGAAAATGTTTATTAGAAAAATATATTGATATAGATTCTTACTTTTATGAGAATGTAACGTGAGCCATTAATGGCATACAAATCTTAGATGCATAAGAAATTTGGATACATGATGTCCTCACTGTTCAGGTAATGTAAAACTTTCTATTGAGGAAGCTAGAAAAATTATGACTAAAAATAAAGGATTATGTATTTCTGAAACGTATAATGGTGCGCATACGAAATTAAAATGGCAGTGTGAAAAGAAGTATAAATGGTATGCAACCTTGGATAAGGTAAAAATTTAGGTACATAGTGCCCATTTTGTCCATGGAAGAGACAAGAACTCTGCAAGGAAATAGCAACGGGATTATTAGGCCCACCATCTAATATTTGTAGACCAGATTTCTTAAAAACGCCTGATCATCCGTTAGGACTTGAACTTGATATATACTATCCACATTGTGGTTTTGCTATCGAAGTTCAAGGTATATAACATGAATGCTTCCACGCTTTCTTCCATAAAAACCAAAAAGATTTTGAAAAACAGTTTGCACGATATCAGCTAAAAAAAAAGAACTTTTGATAAAAATAGGATATTACTTATTGAAATATGGTATTATGAAGACCCTTATCGTTATAGTGATCCCTAGAAAACTTAAAGAGCTGGGTCTTATCTCTTAACTACTGTAGTCAAATTGCGATTTTCTAAATTTATTTTTTTTTGTAATCATGTGAAGAAGAAGCTAATTTTATGTAACGTTATCATTGAGTAACCTTAGACCTGATCAACTTAAAATGATAAAAAATACAATCATTAGATGATATCTTCTTCAAAAATGATCAAACGAATTATGTCCCTAGAGAGAAATTTTCAGAGCGCAAAAGACTCTTTGGAAGAGAGAAGGTAAGTAAACATCATACAGATGGATTAAGTTCTGTCTAATATTGACACGTATGATAGTTTGCCTATACAGATAGGCTGGAATTTGTCGGTGGAAAAAATCGATACTTTCTTTGACCGTCAAGATACACGCGGATACAAATTTGACATCGCTTCAAAAGGAAACATATTTATAGTTGAAATGGAAAAAGCGGAACACGCATCTGTTGTCAAGCGTCTTGATAAATATTTTGAAGTTCCCAACGGAGGTGTCGCCGATAATCCTCCAATAGATGTTCTAGGTGCTTCAGGTAAGATAAATTCCTTTGGGTTGCTTAGTCTTGTTATCAGTTTTATAACCTTCTCATATCCTATTAGCTCACTATAAGCCACGTGGAGGAGGAAAACCCTCGGCACCTGGTATTGCTATATATCCAAGTTTGAGTATCATTCCGAAACCTCCAACTCCAGCTCCACCTCCACAATGTGGACTAAGAATTCTTAGAGCTCCTCGTATACCTTCCCGACATCGCGAAATTCCCCCAGTTGATAAAACGGTTGATTCCGTCATATCAGATTTTGTTCCTAATTTTCCTAGTCTTAATGTAAATTAATTATATAGGGAAGACCCATGCACGAATAATGTGCGAAGTTGCAGTATCTCAAAAGTATGATGGTCCGAGAGGTTGGAATGCAAAGTGTTGTCGTTGGATGCGACAACAATACGTAAGATGTGTATTCGGGATTAAAATTTATAATAAAAGATCTACAAGAAATGCGAATGGTCAATTTGACCGATGTATGATTGTATGTATTACACAAACTACTTATTATTAATAGTTTCAAAATTTAAATTTTTCTATTTCTGATCCTAGGCAAGACTTTGGACACGTCAGGTAACACCAATAGCAGGAAGACATATAGCAGTAGCAGGACAGCCAGGAGTTTATTATGAGGAGGTAAGACTAGCATGCCATTGATGTTCTTTAAATTGCAAATATCTAATGTATAATATAAACTTACCAAATTTTTTGTAGTGGGATTTCGGTACTCACGGTTATTACACTGGTGTTCTTACTGCTTGCACGGGACCAGGTTTACTTAATTATCAAGTTAATATCCCAACTCAGGATGTATTCTGGAACCCGCCTGTGATCAGAGGAGCCCCCTCCACAGTTGGGTATGCCACCATGGTCCCCGGTGGAGTTACTGCCCCTAACTTCGTTATAGATTTGTATCAAATTCAGCAATTGGTTTTGCTAAACCAGGAAAACTAGAAGGAATCTATCTTATTTTAATGTTAATTTTAAATTTTCTTCATTTATTTTATATTTTAAAAAAAGTTTTTTAAGACAAATTATTACTTAATATGAAATATTTTATCATTATATTGAATGATTTCTTTAGCAAAATTGTATTTTTAAAAATAATATAATATAAAATTAATATAAAATATATTTAATATTAATTATTTTAAAAAATTGATTATTAATTATTTGTATTTATAATATTTTTTCTATTATTTATACTTATAATAACAAATTTGTTGATTTTAATTAAATTTATAATTTTGAAAATTTTTAATTTGATTTTTTTATTTAAAAATATATTAATTGAAATTAGACTACAATATTTTAATATAAATATTTTATATTAAATTTATTTATCTATTTTTAAAATAAATTTGATAACTTATTTAAATTTTTTAAATTTTTAATTAATTTTTATAATTTTTTTATAGATGGTAAATGATATTCAATATATAAAGTTTAAAAATTTAATAAAAAATAATTTTTAATAATTATTAAATTAAATTATATTAAATAAAGTATTTTTATTTTCTTTAAGTTTATATTTAGTAATTTAAAACCATTCAAAATTTAAGATTTATGATAATTTAATTTAAAGAATCTTATTTATTAATAAATTAATAAATTTTCTTATTATTTCTTTTTTATTAATTAGCTAAATAACTTCTTAATTTAATAAATTTAATTAATAAGTAAAATAATTCTAAATTTTCAAAATTTTTAGAATTTATTTTTAATATGCTTAATATATATATTATTAAATTTTTAAAAATTATTTTCCTTTTTTTTTTTATTATATAAAGAATTTGTATTAACGGTATTATATTATCATATTTATATTTAAAAATGGCATAGTAATTAATTATAATTAGCAATAAATAGCATTATAGAATTGCAACTAATTACAATTGATGACAAATAAGTATTATATAGTTGTAATTAGTTGAAGCACCATCTTTATTTATATTAATAAAATACTTTTTTATCAAATTTTTTTAAGAAAACTTACAAAAAAATAGTAAAATAAAAATGCAAAAAAATAATCAATAAAATAAATGAGTAAAAATCGTAAAAATATATTTATAATTTATAACTTGTAATTTAAATTAATTAGCAATTATAATTAAATATTGGAGCTAATAAATAATTTATAATAATTTCAATAATTATATTATCTTGAAAATTTTTAAAGTACTTATTTAATTATTAGCATTTCTAATAATTAAAGTCTGAATAATATTTAGATTAACTATTTTTAAATTATTTAAGAATCTAATATATTTTTGATTTTTTACTTTTAATGCAAGTTTTATATTAATATATATATATTATAAGAATATTGATCTATTGATAATTTTTATTAAATTGATATAAGGTTATTAAATAAAACCTAAAAGTTTTGAAAAGGTAAAATTATATCATATTAAAACAATAATAAAAATTAGCAAAATTAAAGTTTAAATGTTTTGTCAAATTTAAAATGAATTTAAACAAGCAACTTTAGACAAATTATTTTGTAATATTAATATTTTTCTTTAATTAACTTATTAATTTCTAAATTTTATATAGTAATCTTGATTATAAAAAATAAATAAAAAAATAAATAAAGAATTAAAGAAGAATTAATATAAAAATATGATAATTAAAGATAAAATAAATCAAAGAAATATAAAATTTAGATTATCTTTTATAAAATAATAAAGAATAAAGAAAAAAATTAAATAGAAAATAATAAGATAAATTAGATCATTTTTGAAGAATCAAGAATATTCAATAGTATAGAAAGAATTTAAATAATTAAAATAATTATAAATAGGATAAGTTTCTTAAATGTAAAGTTAAGTTATAACCTTATTTCTTTTTATTATTTCTAAGATAAAGAGATGAATTAATATTATGATAATTATATTTTATGATTAAACTTTTCTTACAATTTATTATAAATTATTATATGCAATCTGATCAGTATAATTGAAATTTTAATTTGTAATTCTTAAAATTTATTATATGAGAACGTTGCCAGTAAAATCAAGTTATAAAATAAAGTTCACTGATAATGTTTCCATTATTATATTCTTAATAATAAAACTTAGAGAAGAAAGAAATATAATAAATCAAAAAAGAAAATAATAGCTTAGAAAAGAATAATACAGCCGCTTTTTCTATCGAATGTTTTTAACAAGGAAATGGACTTCCGAAAAAAATTGAAAGAAAACGTGTTCGGAGTTATTAACACCTAAAGGGTTTGAAGTTGGTCAACTTAGAAATATTTGAAAAAATCAACATATACTTACCTTAAACCCACTAGCAAATGTAGAAATGTTATAACGAGGTGGAATTGATGTCAAATTAGAATCTGAATAATGACAAAGAATTGAATATTTTGCTTTACCGCATTATATGAGAGAAGGTTCCACATGATGCCAAATTCCAATCCCTTCTTTTATCCCTCAACTCATCCATGACTACAATAAAATCACACCTTTTTTCCTTTCTGCTTTAAAGATCAATGCATCTTGAACCCAAACCATTACATCTGGCCATGGGTCAATGTCAATAGCCAAGGATTGGAATTGTCTTTAAAGTTTCCCAAACATTGATAACGATATTATCAAATTTGCTTATTATACGATGTTCCGAACCTTCCATTCTTTTAGGAATGGCATTCGCAAATTCTGCACCAAATTCAGCTGCCGTGGAGCCTGATATATATCATTATTAACAAAATCAAAGTCAATTATTTCGCTTTTCTATTGCAGATTCAATAGGGATTTGTACGCAGAACGGTTGGAGTAAAACAGTTTCTAGGCTTGTTGGATCATTTGGCAATTCAAAATTATTCAAGTCACAGAATGATTTAACAAGATCTGATAAGACATTTTTTTCTTCATACTAAAAGGTTGTTGGTTGATAACATTAATATCAGACAGAAAGAATTAAAAAAAAAAGCAAAGTTAAAAGTTGTGAGCGGAATGAATAAAATAAATAAACGAAGTGGAATGAATGAAAGTAATTTTTGAGTAATTTTTATAAAATATTTCATTTTTTTTTTATATAATTCATTCAACGCACCCTGTAAGATTCCAACGCGTCCTCCTTCTCCTCTAACGACTTTTTATCTTTTTCTAATTATTCTTTCTATCCTTCTTAAACCCTCTCCTCAATACTTTCAACCTGTCCAGTTCCTTTTCCACTTCTTCTAACCTCTTGTTCTAAATTTCCACTAATGTGTATATTAAAAGATTTTCGGCAATATACGGGTAATTCGGACCAATAAGCAAACGAGTTACGATCCTTGGCATAAGACTTGAAAAATGCGGTTACATAATAATAAAATGTATGAAAATTAATAATTTTCCATTGATTAATTAATTCTCGGAAAGTAATAGTGTAGAAATGATACCAATTTTTTTTTTTTAAAATTTGCTTAAATTAAAATTCGAGGATTACATAAATAAATATTAATAATGAAGATAATCTGTAAAAAAAAATAGTTGATTAAATCGAAGTTGAATCAATCTACTCTTTTGGGAATTTGAATCAATACTCTAAATTGTGGAGGATCACTTTGCGTCTTGATGTTTATCCGTATGACATAAATTGTCGGTGCCCCTTTTTTGGGAGGTTTCTTACAAATTTGGTAATTTATTTATGTGGGGTTTATAGCGAAATTTTTTTTTTTTTATTTTAGAACACGTTTTAATAAAATAAAAATAATCTTATCTTGAATCAAATCAATCAGACTTTTTGTCTTTATGAACTTGAATCCATTACAAACATCCTAAATTTAGAAATTGAACGAAAGAAAAGCCCATTCCATGAGAAAAAAAATATGCATGACAAGAAATTTGTCAAAATTACGAAATATTTTTAGGTAATTTCGAATTTTTTTAATTTATCATACAATATATTAGTGGAGTTACACTAGATCTTTGCATTTTTGGTTGCGTGAGAAAGAGATCACTTTTAACGAGTTTTGGTAGTTTTTGGAAATTTTATTTTATGGGGTGATTGTCGTGTATCCGTTGGTTATTTACGAATTATTTCACGACATTTTGACACAACATTTCACACGGAGTAAATCTCAGAAGTTTATCGCCGAATTTCGTAATCGTGAATTTAAAATTGAGAGGGACACGTTCAAATTTATTTGGCGTAACGAAAAGATTTTTTTTTTTTTCCTGTCAATTTGAAATTTCATTGATTATTTTTGACGCACATTTTCAAAATTTGCATTTTAATTGGATCGAATCGTTGAAAAGGAACTTTCGTTGTAATGATTTATGATTCCCTTATAAAGTAATGAACGACTTTTTTTTTTTCTTCTCACAATATCATCGCACAAAAGTTCTCATGATAATTAATAGATTACAAAGACAATCATAAACATTATGTAAATTAAAAAAGAAATTATCAAAAAGATCTTATCAAATCAATCCTACTGCATGCAATGAAACGTGAAATTTAATTTTAAAGAAGGAAACTATTTGATACTTATTAATTTCTTGTATAGGATATGAACAATGTGATGTGGACATCATATGTCATGGTAAAAAAGTTCTTTCAATTTATTTTTCTGACGGACAAGTGCGAGAGTTTCAAGGAGTTAAACGATCGGTACTGAGTCAACTCTGAGTATGTGTGAAAGATGTAACGTATTAAAAAGAAATCTTCTTGGTTGACTCAATACGTTAAAGTTTTTGAGAGTTGAAATGAGTCATCATCGTGAACTCGTGCGTATTATTTGTGGGCGTTTTAGTTTCGAAAAGGAAAAAATTTGAACGGGGAAAGTTATTTATTTATTATGAAAAATTCTCACATGAAGAATCCAAGCCCGGGACAATGCTTATTACGAAAAATCATTACTATAATTTTTAAGAAATTCCAAATAAAAACCTATTTTGTCCTTTGTTCAAAAAAAAAAAAAAAGAAAAAAAAAAAAATAATCAAATCTTTGATTAAAAAAAAATAGGACCATCTTTTTTTTAAAACAAGAGTAGAAAAAAAAGATGGACCCATTTGCCCGTGGCAATAAAAAAAATAAAAATAAAAACTTGTTTGACATATTTACCTTTCAAGTGTTTGAAACAAATATTTACCAATTAAAAATGATCAGGAATATAAAATTTTTTTATATGTGTACATATATATCTAGCGTAGTATGCATAAAGATCAAGATATGATTTGATTTTTTTGATAAAATAAGATAACATTTTAAGAAAAATGTTTTTTTAATTACTTCGCATATAACCGAAAATGCATTCATGACTGGTAAATATGATGTCAAAAAAAGGGGGTCAGCAATTTTTTACCTCAAGTAAAAAAGAGATTAAAGAATCACACGATGAAATAATGATCCTTTTGTTGCCACTTGTGTAACGTATCATTGGCATAAATTACTTTTGCCAAGAAATTTCACGAAAATCACATGATTAATATTTTTAAAGAAAATGAATCATCATTGGACATTTTATATTTTATTATTTCATCGAATAAAAAAAATGATCATGATTTTAATCAACATTTTGTGTCGCAATGAAATATAAAAAAAAACGTCAAAAATGACTGACTGTACCGTATGACACCGTCATTGATAATCCCATAATTTTCCAAAATGATCAGAATGAATATAAAATGATCATCAAAACTCGAAACTGTGATTCCCTATCCTCTCTTGCCTATTGGCTAAGATCAAGTGTAGTATCTGTTCTTTTCAGTCTAATATCTGAAACGTTACACACTGTGTAACTATGATATTAAACGAATTTTTGTCATTGGGGATTGAGTCCCTGGGCTTGCCTACACTCGGTCCCGGAGTGTCCCTAGTATTGCAGTATCTCTAGGTGACGCTCACATTTAGAATTAAAAGCGGGTTGGGAATCGGATAAGTGGGTCGTAGAAAAATTAAAAACAGATTTTTATTTTTCATTTCATTAGATGACGATTTTTTAAATCACGTGCATGATGCAGTAAATTTTTTTTTACTTTTCGAAAAAAAAAAATTTTTTTTAGGCGGGCCCCCCAAAGTGTTACGTTAAATAAAATTGGAAATTTATTGTAAAATACTAAAATTATCCTTAGTAGAACAAACATATTCTATTTATAGAACTTTTTTTTCAACTATAGCGATAGGTGTCAAATTTTTGTATTAAAATAAACAATAAAGTGGTTTAAAGATTTTTGTTATTTAAAATACCTGTTGGCCATAAATAATAAAACCATATTACTTACAAACAAAAACCAAATATCTATCTATTTTTGTAACGATTATTAAGAACTAATAATAAATATCAAACTCTTTGGTGGTGGTGTAATATGTAAAGTAGGAAATAGTGCGTGATATATTATTATACCATTATTAAAAAAGGAACTAAGGCGGCAAAGAGACCAGTTTTTTTTTTTATCCTTTTTACCCCACAAACTCATGACAAATTTTAAAAACACATTGAATTTGATTATCTTACAGTAAAATTTAAAGTTCATATATTGTGTTTCCTTTTTCTGAATGAATTTGATATTTTAGCAACATGATTCGATTATCAAATTTCTTTAAAAAAAAAAAATTTAATTTATTACATTTCGGTCTTTTCGTCAAAATTTTGATTTTCGGTTACTAGAATTTTCTGTATTCGTTATTACATCACTTGAAACAAATAAACAAACCTTTTTCCTTTTTTCTATTATGGGGTCAAAACATTAAATCTGCTGTATCCCCAAAATATAAGTTACATTGGATAAAATTGTGGCGAGTAATTTCAAATTTTTTTTAAGCCCGTTGTGATTCCGGTATTCGGGCAACATTTGATGAAATAGGAAATTTAAATACGGCTAAATAAATTATTTTAAACGGTAAAAACGAAATAAAAAAATTATACTTTATAAAAAATTTTCAACATCTAATTCTGACAAGCACCCTTATTTCAATAAAAGATTTTTTTTTTTTTCATTGTGACCTTTGGCAATAGAAAGGGGAAAAATCGATGATTCTTAGGGTCAAAATTTGTTCAGATTTGGCATTATTAACTCATTCATCCGTTTCCCCTTTTCAATTGCCAAAGTCCCATATATCAAAAAAGTTTTTCATCTAAAAAAGTAGATGATCGGTTTGGACATTTCTCAATAGCAAAATATTGCATTGTTTTGTTCCAAATAAATAAAATTTAAAAATTTAAATTTGTAATAAAGAAGATTCATCACCATTTTTGACGGAATTTCTGGTGGAATATTTCATAAACAATAACAAATAATTATCTGATTTCAATTAAGATTGATCTTTTTATCCAATCAGGTTTCATTTGACAAATGATCATTATTAACATTGGGCATCTAAGTGAAAAAGGGGGGTTTAGTCGTGCATAAATGTCCCTTGTTTTTCACCTTATAATGAAGTAATGTTTGAATAATATTTTTTTTTTTTTTTTAAAAAAAAAAAAAAAAAGGATTTGCACGCACATTACACAACTACGAACAGAAAAGGTTGGTTGAAAATAATAATATTTATAATAAAATATAATATAAAAAAAAAAAAAAATAATAATAATAAAAATAATAAAAAAAAAAATTTTTTTACACAAAAAAAATTTTTTTATGTATATAAATTAAATTTTTTTTGTATATATAAGCAGAACAATTTCTCCTTCGATTTTTTTTTTTTTCACAATTATTTCATTTACAAAAAAAAAAATATTCAATCAAAATCAAAATCGTTGAGGAAAATTATTTTATTTCTTCCAAAGAACCAAACCTTTTAAAAACCCTCAACATTATCATCATTAAAACAATTGCGGGGGTCATCTAACATCATCATCAACAACATTATATTTCATCGCATTTTACTCATCACACTTTTTTTTTTTTGCTTCGCAACATTAGCATTTACCAACAACACACTTGCTTCACACTCTTGCTTCAACGCATATTGCCTACAACACCTTTTATCATTTGCCGATCTCCGCTTTTAATCATGGTCATTAAATCAAAGAGATCCAACATTACCACTTCAATTCCCGCAATAATGTTATCAAAACCGTTACTATCATTAAAGATCTTCCCAACTGAACTTTTATTAATCACTTTTCAAAACCTTGACATACCAACATTATTAAAGATCTGTAACGTGTGTAAGCGTTTCCTGCAAATTGGTACAATGGTTTTATCAAAAAAATTTAAAGATCCAAGTATTAGATTGATGTTAACTTTTGAACAAGAACATAGATGGAGGTTTAATGTGCCATTTGAATTCAGCAAATTTAATGAGCAAAATGGTAATTTTATTTTTAAACCAATAAAATCAAGGCAGCAGCAATCGACCATGAGATTTATTCACTCGTCTGTAGTTCGAAATCCCGCGTTATGTAAAGTTGCCATAAATGGTATAAACTGTTCAAATAAAAATGAAAAATTTGGCAGCGATAACCGCGTTCCTTTTTCATCAAATGTAACAAATCATAACAATCACTTGACAACTTTACCACAAATTCCTGTTTCAAATCCTTCTCTCACATCCCCTTCCCCCCTTCCTCCTAATAAATCACAAAAACTTGAAGAAAATTTCTTACAAAAATCTTTACCTCTTGGAATAAAATCACATAAAGATGATTTAAAAAAGACTCAACATGTTTATCGTATGGGTCATGGCACCACTCACCTGAGAATCCCTTATACATTTACATATTCGGTATCCGACAGACCTCCACCTTCAATGCAAAAAACTCGCGGTGGTGAACGTTGGTTGACTCCACTTTCTTTTGAATGTTCTCCAAGCTTTTTTTACCCACATGAACCAGCCGCCCATAAATTAATTATGACTATCATCCATTTAAGAAAAAAGAATTCACATAAGAAAAAATCATTATCCTCATCACAAAATCCAACAAATAATAATTATAAGCAAAAACAAAAGGTGATTGGTACTGAAATAGAAGAAGGATTCATCTCAATCGATATTGACACAGGTGGTCATGAGATTCTAAACCCCAAAGCTTACAAGCTGTTATTTGAAAAACAAATGAATCTACAAGATAAATTGAAACCTTCAAGGCGTTGGGTTCGTGGTGCCAGACATTAAAAAATCCCCCTTTGTTGTTTTTTATTTTTTTTTTTTTGTACATACAAATAAACATTTTAATATAGATTATATAGATATATCTGTGTTTTTAGTATTCCAAAGCATCGAAATTGTTTTCGAATTATATGTCAAATCTTTAGTTTTTTTTACACATTAATTGTATATAAATATTGCTCATCAAATTAATAATATTTAATAATAATAATAAAAAAAGTTTTATGCAAAAAAAACCCGATACCACGAATAAAATCGAATAATTAATACTAAAAAATATAAATTTTGATTTCGTGAGAAAATTTATTATAATTTAACTAATTTAAGAATGAGAATCATGATATTTTGATATTTACAAAATCCAATTTCCTTGGCAGACAAAGGATTGGACCTTTTGTGATGTCGATTAATTTTTGCTATACCAATAAAATCAATTGACGTCGGTAAATCAACTATGGGAAGTTGGCCTAAATGGAATAATTAATAAAATTGGTCTTACAAAAAATATCGTTTTGCTGACTCTGATGCTTACTTAACTCGGGAAAGAATCCAAAAAAAAATTTATTTATTTCAGATAATGTTTTACCAAATCATCATGTAAGCTGTATTTAGTAATTGCATGAAAGGAAATCTTTTCATCGGTTAAAATTCAATAATTCATGTTTTGGGAATCAAAAAAAAAAAGCTACATAATCGAAGCAAATTCTATTTTACCCTAATGAATTCAAAATATTGACACAATAATGGTATCACCTATTGAAACCCGAAGGAAGGTAATCCTCTCTAAACAATAGAACTTAAGTTTCGACGAAATGGCTTTATTGTAAATACTATATTAGGAAAATGATGATCAAATTTCACCGAGTCAATATATAAGCACGTGACATTATGCATTTCTCCTTAACTCCCCAATCCTGTTTCTTAATTCGCAAAAGGAGGCATGGATTATAACACACACTTGTTTTAACCAATCACTTTATAAATAGAAAAAAAATTATTTTTGTGTATCAACTCTCAGAAATTTAAAAATATTAGTTCAAAATAAAGATTATAATTTTAAACACATTATTATAAATTGTTTATTCTATTGAAATTTTACTAATTTTACTAAATCGGTTATATATATATAACATAAAATATATTAATAAATATATAATGATTTAATGTATAAAATATAAAAATTAATTTAAATAAGTAGTACTCTTATATGAATGCTATCCAATTGCATTAAACTGCTATCTAGTTGACATTTTCAATGCTCTATGACCTTTTTATGGCTAAATTATTATCTATTTTTTTTTGATGCTTTGGGATTTTTTAATAATCATGTAATTATTTATTTGTTTTTAGTACTTTATACCTTTTTTTTTATTGTCAAGTAATAATTCATGTATTTATAGCTTTCTTAACCTTTTTGTAATCAAAAATAAGAGTAGTTTAATATCCCAGTTTATGTAAAAAAAAATATATATATATATCAGATCATATGTTTACTGTGTTTTACTACACCTTGAGTTCTAAGTATTTCTTTATCATTTTTTCAGAAATTTAAGATTTAGTCTGATAAATCAATTGGTTAGAAAATTGGAGATATAATTTGTATTATTATATTCAGCCTATTAGATTATCAGGATGAAATATAAAATGTTGAATTTGTAATTTATCATTTTTAATTCATTATAATTGGTCTATTTAATTGCTAGGTAAAACACAAAGTGCTAAATTTATAATTCAAATACTTTATTCCATTCAATTACTAATATAATACATAAAATACTAAATTTGTAATCTATCTACTTACTAAGATGTATTACAATTTATTTACTATTTTTGATTATCAGATGAAATATATGTGAAGTACTAATTGTCTAGAGTGAAACGTAAGACTATATATTTTTAGAAGTATTAGTAAAAAGATCTTAATCATATGAATATTTTTATTTATTATACTGCATGTGCGATAAGATCAGTAAATAAAAAAAATAAAAAATAACAAAATAAAAATTAATTTATTTATTTTAAATAAAAAAATTTCGCTCTGGATTTAAAATGGTTTCTATTTCTAATATTATATTATTCTTGCAATTCTACTTTTATGACATCTTTTAATTGCTAAATGAAATATGAAATATTAATTTGCAATTCTACTTTCATATTATTTTTGATATAATATATTAAATTGGTAATTCACTTAAGCATAATATATTTTTCTTTCCTATATAATTTTGTTTAAATGAATCATCAAAATTTAATATATTTTAAATTTATAAATCTTATTCTTACATAATTACAACTTTAAAAATATTAAATTATTATAAATTTTATACTGACTTCTTGTATATACTATCATACTACTTATACAAAAAGCTTAAGTCTAATTTTAATAAAATAAATAAAGTAATTATATTTTTTTCTAATTTAGCTAATCTTGATTATAAATCTAATTACAGTCAACTCTTGATATAGCGAACTCTTAATATAACGAATTTTTTGAACAAATATAATAAAAATACTCTTATTATAGCAAACTGGCCAATCAAATCTCTTAAAATCTTCACTATAACCTTATAGCGAAGTTGAGGTCTAGGATATAGAGTTCGTTATAATAAGAGTTGACTGTATAATGACTATATATATTTTTTTAATATTTATTTAATAATAAAGATGATACTGCTACTTATTATCCTAATGAAATTTTTAATAAATAAATAGTTCAAATAGTAAAAAAAAATTTTATATTAGTTGATCACCTATCTAAATTTATGAATTATCTAATACTCATGAATATATTAATGAAAATTAATTTTTTACTTAATCTAAATATTAATATAAGATAAAACCATTTTTTTCTCATTTACATTTGAAAAAAAAAATTAAAAATTACCTTTCTTAAAAAGTATAAAATGCAAAATTATAATGAAATTATTATTAAAACTTTAGTATATACTTGAAAATGTAAAAAAAAAAATACTTAGTAAAAGTTAATACTAATTTAATATAATATTATATTTATGTAAAAAAAATCATCAATGGAAAATATTATATAAAATATAAAATAGAATTATAGATAATATAATATTTACTTTAAAGTACAGAAAAAATATATTAGTATATTTTTCAAGATTTATTATATTAAAATTTTTATTCTGAAAATTAAAATTCTTATAAAGGCTATATCTAGATAGATATAATGAAGAATTAGATTTAACCTTTAAATATAGTAGTATCAACATTATTAAATTATACCTTTTTTAGATGAGTAAATTTAATATAATTAACAAAAAAACACTCTATTATAAGAAAGAAAAAATTTTTATTATAATATTTTATTATATTGTTAATTTAAAAACTTTTATAAATAAGATAACATAAAGTAATAAAATTGGTTTACATATTTAAAGTTAACTTTATATAACCTGATCATCCAGATTTTTACTTCTAAAAGAAAAAATTTTTTAATTGATAAAATTTTACTTAATATTTTTATTGTTTTATAATCTAGTTATCTAATTAAACTAAAATTTTTTGTTTTTGTATTCACATAATAGATTATTATTATAATCAAAAATAAAAATTAAATTAAGTATAATAAAAAAAAAAAGTAATGTTATTAATTCAATATTTTCTTATTAATAAAATAATTATCTTGTTTAAAATATTCAAATAATTTGATTTAATATATTCTATTCGATAATATTATTATAATAAATCAATTCTATTTATTTAAATAACTTTAATTAATTAAATTCTATATGAATTTATTCTTTTAAAGAATTAAAGATCAAGATTATTAATATTCTTTTCTTAACTATATTTCTGAATACTTTTCTTTTCTAATTGCAAACCTAAAAAACTTTCTCTTTACTAATTATAATCCTAAAAATAACTTTTTTTTTCTAATTACACTTCTGATAAATTAAAAACAGATAATAAATTTAATTATATAAATTTGCTAATAAAGAAAAAAGTTACAAATAAATTAAACAAATTTTTTTTTTAAGCTTTTAATAAATCTTTTATTACAATTTAACAAAAATGCTATTTGTAAATATTCATATTATTAAATAATTAAAAAGTCTTTATAGATATTTTATTTCTTATAAAATAACAATTAAAGATTTTTTAAAAAACTTATAATTAAAGAACTATCTTCTGAGTCTAATATTATTATAATAAATTCTGTGATCATAAATTGTATTAAAATAAGTAAGATACTAATTGCAATTATAATCTAAGTCAGCTTTAATTATAATATTATAAAATTTATGATAAGTATAGAAAAATATACATTATTGACTTAAAGTTAATGATATAATTTCCTAATTTAATAATATAGTAGAATAGCCTTATAATCCTAATGTAAAATACATATTAAACCTAATTACATTTGCTAATCTTTTTATAATCAGAAAATTAAATTGTAAGCAAAAACTGTATAATAATCTAGTTGATTCAATTCAGCATTATGATAAAGAATAGTCTATCTAATCATATACGAACATACAAGAGAAATAATTTATAATTAGCTTGATTGAAATAATTTAGTATATTAATATGTATAATCACTAAAAACTCAAAAAGCATAATTATCATATATCTAACATTTTTTAAGTTTTTGACTATGTAAATTCAGAATCATATAAGAAATTATGAAAATCATTTGATATAATGATCTAAATCTATATTATAAAACTCTTACTCTACATACTACATCATTGTGATATTAATAATAAATTTTAATTAGCTCTGTAATCTATTTAATAATCTTATTATTATTATTTCAAATTATATAGAGTTTCTATAATACTAATATGATGTTTTGCTATAAATAATATATTAAAAGCTCTTATACAAACTGTTAACTAAGTCATAACAATTAAAATCCATAATTAAAATATTTAATTACACCTACTAATAAAGCCAAATATTATCATCTTAAATACTTGTTCGCTGATTTATTATTATAAGAATTAATTGATAATAAAGAATATTTACTAATTAATCTTATATAAGAAACAGAAATAATATTATTAAAAATGTTAGTATAAAATCTAACAAACAATTTATTATAGATAAAGGATGCATTACATCTAGAGCTTATTTTATTTATTTTCTTTTAAGATCAGAAAATATTGATTTAATTCTAAAAGTAATTTTTTTAACGTAATCTCAATCTGAAAAATTAATGAATAAACTAATAAAATAATAATGTTATAAGAGAATATGTAAATTGTAAATAAATTGTAAGCTGATGTATCTTATTATCATATATAAGCAATGTGAAAAATTATTTATGTATATATGATCTGTTTCTTCTAAAGATCAAGCTATCAATACTTTGAATAAAAGCAATGTGAAAAATTATTTATGTATATATGATTTGTTTCTTCTAAAGATCAAGCTATCAATACTTTGAATAATCTACTGAATATTAACAAGTGATATCTTTATAATTAAAACTAAAAATGAAGCAAAAGTTAATGATGTTAAACTTACTTTATAACCAGAGATCTAGATATTATCATCAATTTATATGAATATAGTAATAGAAGACCAAATAAATATAAAATCTTCTAGAGAATTATAAAACAATTTCTTATAAGAAAAGTAACAGATATTGTGATTGCTATAAACAAATACAGATATAATATAATTATGCATTTTGCAATTACAATCTTCATAAATAATTTTCTTTATTAAATTAAATGTAAGTGTTTCTAATTTCTAATACATAATAATTACAATTACAATTTTAGTCTAAAAATTCAACAAGATTTAATAGTTTACAATTTATCAGTCATTTATCTCTAAAGTTTATAATTTAAATATGTTAGTTATAAGCTTACTATTCAGATATTTGTTATATATTAGCATTATTTTGCTATGGAAAAAAATTTGCTGTAAAATTTAAAGAAATCATAAATTTAGTCTTTTTAGATAATAAACATTATTGTAAAGTTAGTGAATCTAGATTTCTAATTAATATAGTAGAGAGAAAAAAAAAGTATTGGTTAATAAGAATACTATATTTATAATTATAGATTATAATTTTTACTAAAACAAAAATTATACTAAGTGTAACAATGATATATAATATAGGGTCTTTGTAATAGAAAGGGAAAAAACTACCAAAAAATATTATTTGAGTTAATATTAAATCTAAACTTATTTTATTAAAAAAAAAATAATATTTAGCTCATAAATAAAAAAAATTTTTTTGATAATTTCTTTCCTTTCTATTGCAAAAAGCCTATATATTCAAATTAATTAATAGTAATTTTTATATAGAAAAAGTATATATTAGAATGTAATAAAAGATCTAATCTTTCAATTTTTCTCACCTATTTGCTATGCAATAGAGCTGTATAATATACTTCTTAAAGAACTTGTTAATAAATTTATATTGTATCTCTATATAGATGGTAGATCAAATTATTAATACACATATATTTGTATTTAACTTTCATATATTTACATTAAACTTTGATTATTTTATTGCTATTTAAACTCTATTACAATATTTATAAAAAAACCTATTAAATATATTATATCAATTCTAAACTTAGGGTTATAAAGTATTAGATTGATGCAAATTAAAATGAATGATCAGTTAGAAAAATTAAAAAGCAAATGTAATATAATAAAGAAATTTATAAAATTTTAAGAAAAATTTTACCTTAAAGGAAGACCTATTGCAAGTTTTTAAGTTCTAATTAGTTTACTTTGTAATGTATTTAATTGCCAATTTCTTAAAGATAATTTCTTCAAAACATTTACTATAGTATTAGAAATAAAAATAAAGAGATTCTAGAAAATGATTCAACTTGTAGATAATAATATTATCTATGAAAATTATACTGTAAAACAAATAAAATAGAGAGTAAGTAGAATATTAATCGAGTTATTTCATAAAAGAAGATTTTGATTACTTGATTAATTTATTTTTGTTTAAAATTACATTTATAGAATACTATTACATATTAAGGTATTACTTCTTCTCAATAAAAAAATGTGATAAATCAGCTTGTGTTATTTATCATCTTCTTCGTTATTTGCCAAAAGATTTTAAACAATTGCATTATCTTTCAGATCCAGTATCTGAAGAAGATTTATATTACAAATTGTTTAAAAAATTATATGGTAAACAAATAATAGAAGATCATAGATTTTTACTTAAAAATACTAAGATAAAATAAAGGTAAAATGAAAATTACAAAAATGAAATATACTATGTCATTTTGCCTTTCTATTATATTTATGAAAATATTATTATTACTATAAATTACATTAAGTGTGAAAAGTTATATCTTTTATTCAGTATAAAGAAACTTTTTAAAAAGGATAAAACAATGCTGTAAAAATTCTTAGATACAATTTTTTACACTTATAATATGTCTTTTGTAATACTTATGATTTTTCAATAACCATATCATGAAAAAATTAAATATATAAGGATAGATGAAAAGGATGATTGTGATAAAAATGAATACAAACATAAAGATTCAAATGATGATGATAATGATGATAAAAAATCTGATAATATGTAGAAAAAGTTTGATAATATAAAAAAAAAAATCAGATAATATGAAGGATTCTATCTACAAACATTTTTCAAAAGTTTATATTAATGACTTGTGATTATATTTATTATAAGTTAAGAGACCTTATTACTCAATTAAAATTTAATATTAATTTCTTTTTAAGATTTATATTAGTAATTATTTTTGAAACTATAAAGAATATTATTTTGAATTATTTGATTATATGATATAAACATAAAGCATTTTTATTAGTCGATTATAAAAAAATTAAACTTTCAGAATCCTATCTTATTGATCCAGACAAGATATAAAAACTAATTTTATTACTTTGTATTATTTTATTAAAATTTGTCAAGAAAATTTTTATAATCTGTTACATCTTACTTATATAAGAAAACATGAATATATATTTATGAAATCAATTATTAAACTTATTTTATTATATATTATTATATCTAAAAGATATTTTTAAAATTTGCATTATTTTTCTTATTTTTCTTAATCTTTTTTAAAAACTATTTATAATATTTTGTAAATTTTACAATAATTCTATTTAGATTAAAGATTTTATATTAGTAATATTATATAATTAACTATATAATTATAAATAAAAAAAATACTTTATGTAAAAACTAATAAAATATAAATAAACTCTTTGACTTCTTCAATTAACTTATTACTAAAAAATATCTTCATTTAATAACTAAATGATGGTATTTTATTTTTTTTTTATTATTAAACCATAGATTTTAAAATACTTATCTATAATATTGATATTAAATTCTATATAATTTTGATAGAAGGTTTCTTTTATATATTTTTTTACTAATTCTTTATTTTTATTTAAATAAAGTTACACTAATTTATTATGATTATAGTAAATTTTAATTTTATTAGTATTCTATTTTTTACTTTCAAAAAAAATAACTTTTTATATTTTTAATAAAAATAAATATAGAACATAAGATTAGATTTATTTTTTCTTGATTTACTTTTTTGCTAAACTTTACAGTTTTTGCTAGCTTTACTTTAATGTTCAGCTTTAATAATTTTAACCTTATATTAACTAGCAATAATTTCTACCAGTATATTTTTAGATTTTTCAAAAGTTTTTCTAAGTGAATTCAACATAATATTCTGTAAAAAATATTAATAATTTCATTAATTATATATTTTTTAATATAATCATCTTTAATTTATTAATCATATATTACTATATTTTTTGAAGACAATATAAATTTTCATAATTTATAGATTTCATTTCTTTTTGATATAAAATCATTATACATTTTCTTTATTTCTATATTTTTGCTTAAATTTCTTCTCTTTTTATAAATATAAGAAGTAATTGATGATAAATAAAATCAAATTAAAGCAATATTAATATTATATTAATATGATAGTTTAAAAATAAATATTAATATAAAACGCTATTTTACTTTATAAAACAAGTTTATTTATTATTTATATTCAATAAAGTCATATGTAATTCTGATCATAACATTTTGTTAAGTTTATTTTACCTTGTATAAAATAATATCAAATGTTTAACCTATAATGGATTTATTAATTAAGAGATACTAAGCTTTTAATTGAGATCATAGAGCTAAAAAGAAAATGCTAAGATTTTAAATTTAAAAAGAAATTACTATTTAAAGTTGAATATGTGAAATTAAGACAGATTTTTAAGAAGAATGCAATATGAATGTAAAGCTTAAAAACAAGACTAAGATACAATATTAAAAAATTAAATAAAAAACCAATTTATTACTAATATGTAGGATTTATGTTTTATTAAATATTTCTTTATAAAAATAATATCAAAGATATCAGCTATTAGTATGATATAATGCATTTGTTATTGATTTCTTTATTTATATTTATAATATTAAACATATCAAAATATTCATATTAATCATGAAGCAATCTTTTAAATCTATTAAAAAGCAAGTTAGAATTTAAAATTATTTTACTTTATAATTTTTATTTCAAATATGCAAATCCAGATCATATTTCATTAGAAGATAAGAAATCCTTAAATGAATTTTTATTTATTTGACAACAAATATAAGTACAGTTAGAATACTAGATAAGAAAATTGAATTAGTTTGTTTGTTTCAGAGGATAATGCAATGAAATTTTTTAAAGAATGTATAATCTTTTCGTTAATGAATTTAATAAGATATAAAAATGACAGTTTTTGATTGTATATATAAAGGGAGATTTTTATTACAATGTTTTAATTTAAATTAAATAGAATTGATCTATCATTATTTTATTATGTTAAAAAATACATTTTAATTGTTCATTTTAATCTATATGTTCATAGTTATCAATCTTTAAATCTAAAAGAGTAATATAATTCATCATAATTCTTTTTTGTCCATCTTTAATAAAACTTATTACTTTACCATCTCTACCCATTCTACCGGTTCTCCCGGACATGTGTATGTATTCAACAGATGAACTTGGCACTCCCAGAATAAATACGTGAGAAATGTTAGGAATATCAATTCCACGTGAAGTGTATTCTTGTGCTACATATATCGTCGTCTTGGGTGAAAATGTAGGTTTAGCCGTAAAATCATTTAAATCCGCCTCAATCGTGCTAAGTGAATTGTAGGAATAACCTTGTTCGTTATTAGTTGGAATATAAGAAGAACTTAATTCTTTTGCAGGAACTCCATATTCTCTAAACTTATTTACAAGTTTTGGGACATTGATTTTATGATTGACGAAAATAATTCCGGTCTGTATTGTATGTTGTTCAAGCTCAATAGCTCCTACAATGCTATCAACCATTCGATCATCATCATCTTCGAATTCTTGAATTCTTTCATCTTCAACAACTGAAATAGAAGTCGCTAAATTTCTGATATTATTTGATGTAACGGTAAGGCAATGATGAGAAATTGATGGAGGAGAGTATGTCCCTTTACTCATGTCAACAAGTATCGGATCCGGTGCGAGTTGATTATCTTTGAAATAATATCTTAACGCTCTATTTAATGTAGCTGAACTCACAATCAATTGTGGTTTTTTCTTGTAGTGAACCTTCTCAGGTCTTCTAATATCTCTCGAGTCAACGTCATTTAATTCACTCATAATATGCCTAGCCAATAATTCAGTTGGTTTGGGATGAATTTCTCGATTTATGATTTTTTTCATTATTGCATGCTTTCCAGGCAATTTGATCAAATGATCAGCTTCGTCCAATGCCAAAGTATTCAATCCGCGAAATTTTAATCCGTGTGCCTCTACTAAATCTAATAGTCTTGTAGCAGTACCCACGAGTATATTTGGAGGTGTTTCTCTAATATTTTTCAATTGTTCTGCTTCAATTTCCGGAAAAGTTCTGACCGCAACTTGAATTATTGATTTCATCGGTAACTTTGTATCTCGTAATAACAAATGAATCCAAGATTCAATTTGAAATGCCAATTCCCTGCTTGGAACTACGAATAAACTTGTTGTCATTGATGATACAGATGAACGAGAAGATAGTGTTTTGGGTAATGTACGTGTTTTACTAAGCAATGCTAAAACTATCCCAAATGTTTTTCCAGATCCGGTTAAATCTCGAATTAATACATCATTCCCTGATAGAATTTGAGGGATTGATTGTTGCTGACATGGTGTTGGTTTTGTTATATTGAAATTTTGTTGTAGCGCTTTACATATTGCTTCTCTTATTCCCAAGTCCTACAATATTTATAAGTAAAGAAAAAAAAATTAAATTAAATTAGATTGTCAAAAGTGTTAAATTAATACTATGCATTACCTTGAAATTATCAACATCTTTTAAGGAAGGTTGTGAAATAGATGATTTACTAGGGTTTGTTGATCGATATTTTGTGAGATATGGATGTTTTCTTTGAATTAAACTTGAAAATCGATGATACCTATAAAGTCAAAAGAAAAGTTAAGAAAAATTTGTAGCGTAGTTTTTATTGCAGTAATTAAATTTTAAATAAAAAGGTACACACCTTAAATTATTATTACATTTAAAAGAAGTTGAAACGTTTAACTTGGTACAAAACATTTTGAGAAGTAAAATCAAAAAAAGTTGATAATCTAATTGATTGGCATTATTAACTGAATAGGAAAATAGAAATTAGAACAAATTCCCGAATGAGAGAGTTTGGACAACATGCATTATAAGTTAGCCATAATAGGATAACATTTTTATGTATTCTAAATAAAATTAGATCAAAGGTTTGAAAAAGATATTTTCTTATCCTTATCTTTCTTACTCTTGTCATAAGTTTTATATTTCTATTGTTCAATACCATATAGATTTATTTAAATTCATCATATTAATAATGAAAGAAAAAGTTTGTCTTATTTGTCTTGATGGTTGGGGTATTTCTCTTAAGGAAAACTCTGCTGGAGACGCTATTCGTAACGCTAATACACCTGTTATGGATAAATTTAAGAAAGAATATCCATACACTACTTTGGAAGCCCATGGTCTTGCGGTTGGTTTACCTGAAGGGCTGATGGGTAACTCTGAAGTTGGTCACTTGAATATTGGTGCCGGACGTGTTGTATATCAGGTGCGTTAAGTTACATTCGCCGCACTCTATCTTGAATTTCGTATTAATTGTTAATATGCATTGTAGGATATTGTCAGAATTGATTTGAGCGTTAAAAACAAGAAGTTTAATGAGATCGAGAATATTGTGAAATGTTTCGATCGAGCCAAACAAACGAATGGAAGGATTCATTTTCTTGGTTTGGTAAGAATTATTTATCATGACATTGTTATATTCGTAATCCTTTATTGATATTAAATTAATTATTTGAATCAGGTCTCGGATGGAGGAGTACATAGTCACATCAATCATTTGGTTCATCTATTGGAAACCGCAAAGAATCATGGCGTTCCCAATGCATATGTACATTTCTTTGGTGATGGTCGTGATACCAACCCTCGCTCTTCAGATAAGTATCTTGAACAATTACAAAAGACCATGGATGATCTCAATTACGGACAAGTTGCTACTATTATTGGAAGATATTATGCTATGGATAGAGACAAGAGATGGGAAAGGGTTAAGATTGCTTTTGAAGCTTTGACACAAGGTATCGGTGAAAAATCCCAGGATCCTATAAATGTAAGCAAATGTGGTCTAATTTTATTGACAATTTTATTGATAATTGCGTCAAAACAATTTTTTGATGGCTTTGAACTTTGTAGAAAATCCGGGAACGATTTTCAAAAGATGAGACTGATGAATTCTTGAAACCTATCATAGTAAATGAAGAGGGTATAATTAAAGGTATTATTTTTCTCATAATCCGAAGTTATTGAATTCCAATATATTTTATTACTTTAAATCAATATAAGCCGTTATTTGTATGCAGAAAATGACACCCTCTTCTTTTTCGACTTCCGTGCCGATCGAATGCGTCAAATCGTTCAAACATTTGGTGTTTCACCACCTCCCTTTGAAACCGAGGTTCCCAACAATCTAGTTAAGTTCATAAATTTCTTCTCATGAAGTAAATTTTATAAAACTTTATTAAAATCCATTGTAATTTTTTTTATATATAGCATATCACATGCATGACAAGATATAAAACTGAGTTTCCCTTCCCTTTGGCATTTCCTCCTCAGACAATGGACAATGTCTTGGCTGAATGGCTTGCGAAACATAAAATTCCTCAATGTCATGTTGCAGGTGAATATACTACGTTTATATCACTGTTAAATCATGTATTAAATGCACATGTTAATTTTGTATCTAACTTTTATTTTTTTTTAGAAACGGAAAAGTATGCACATGTTACATTTTTTTTCAATGGGGGTGTAGAAAAACAGTTTGAAAACGAACATCGTGATTTAATCTCATCCCCCAAAGTAGCTACATATGATCTTAAGCCAGAAATGTCTGCCATGGAAGTAGCAGAAAAAGTAGCAGAAGAAATAGCAAGTGGCAAATATCCATTTGTTATGAATAATTTTGCTAATCCTGATATGGTTGGACATACAGGAATATATGATGCTGCTGTGAAGGCCATTGAGACAACAGATAAAGCTATTGGAATTATTTACGAGGCTTGTAAAGCAAATGGTTACATTCTATTTGTTACTTCCGATCATGGAAATGCTGAACAGATGCAAGATGAAAAAGGAAACCCTCATACTGCTCATACTTGTAATCCTGGTAAATATAAACAATTTTTCCAAAAAAAAAAAAAAAAAAAAAAAAGGGTTATGAAATATATATTAATTTAGCTCCCCTTTTTTAGTTCCTTTTGTAATGACATCGAATGATTATTCATTTATGGAATCAGCTAAAGGGGCTCTCTGCGACGTTTCTCCTACTATTTTAGATGTTATGGGGTTGGAACTTCCAAAAGAGATGACCGGGTTGTCTTTATTGAAAAAGTAAACATCTGCCAAACATGAAATTAATTTATTGTCTAATTTATTTGATTACTCTTAATAAAAAAAAGAAAATATTTTTGATCTCTATCGGTAAAAATAAACTGGTTTCTGTGATCTGATGATCTGATCAGCTTTTAATAAAAGGTAATGTAACACGATATTCTTTTGGCGCGAATGAAAACGCAACGTTGAAATTATGTCGAATCAATTATATCCTGCGTCTATAAATAAACACACGCGTTCCTTTAAAATTCCGAATATGTAACATTGAAATATTACCTTCAATTTTTTAAAAAAAGCATGATCTTAAAAAAGATTTAATATCACCGGAACCATTGATTCAAATTCACCTATTAACATCATAATTGAAACATTTTAGCAATTATAACAACCCATGACTTTCTCATTTGGAGAATGAAATTGATTTGACCTGTTTTTTAACGTTAATTATTCTCTTTTCGAACAAATTATCAATGCGTAAATCAAGTTACACAAATCACATGATTTTTAGGTAGCAACAATTGTCAAAAAAGGTTATTTCAGATGGGGTACTTCATAAGAATTATGGACAACCCCAAAAATTAATTATAATCGGAATTCTGAACACTTTGTTCCTGAAAACTTGATTTTTATAAACAATATTTACACTGAATCAAGTATCTCGGAAGCGATCAGCCACCTAAAAAAATTGTGGATTCAAGTGAATTTAACTAAGCTTCGATTGATTTGGGAGGAAAAATGCATGTGATAATAATTTTTTTTTTTTTAACTTTGCAAGATTTCCCCGAGGTTAAAAATTCCCATCTCACTATTTCAATTGACTTAAATCTAGCTTTTATTGTAACTAAATAAAGTTTTGAAAGTTAATTTACCATTAAAAATGACATTCATATGATATGACGTAGAAGTATCAGCTGCGGTAATTTTATTTTAGCAAAAGTATGATAGATTTAGTACGAAATTGTTCTATCTTTAATCAATATAAATTCCCTAATTATATTTTTTCAAAAATTTAACATGATTATCCAAAATGGGGTGATGCGGTAATGCAATTGGGTGCCATCATTTAAGTTATACCAAATAAAAAAGTATTAGAAACTAATCAAGAATGAATTTTCCCAACTTCTTAATCTTTAATGGGATAGTTTCATTAACGCCATTTCATTGTCGATAACGTTTCATTCAGTTAATGATTTTTTAGTTGGAAAAAAAAAAAAAAAAAACGATTCAACACTGATTTGGTACAACATAGTTGATGACAACCACCAATCAAATTTTTAAAATAAACGTGACAAACTAATTCAAGGTCGTTCCGAATTTTAGTTTTAGAAATTTAGAACGAACAAAAGTGTTTTTGAATTCGTGCTAGAAAGAGATAGTAAAAGAAGTGGTGTTTTCTGTGAGGTTGCAGTAGTACAATTTTAGTTAATTGAACGCGTCACCTCATGGATTCAACCAGTCAGATGATCCATAATTAAATGATATTATAAAGATACCATAGAAGGAGGAACGCACTGTCAACCAAAAAGGGAAGTTCCAATTTATTATATTTATTCATTTGTTGTACAATGAAATTATATGAAATGTTTGTTTGACTATGAAAATGTGGAGTTTATTTTTCTATTCTTAGATTCAAAGACTCGGTAAGAGTTTGTCACATGATTTATCACTTTTAAAAATAAAATTGATAGTGATGAATCAAACAAATCGTCTTTCTCTCCACTTCAAAGTGTAAAAGAAAGCGCGGGTTTGGAACTTTGTGTAATCGGTTAGGTTCGTTGTTGTTGAATTCCCCGGAATCTGTTCTTAATTTGAAGTACATTACATGGTGCATCGTGTATTTTTGATAGGTTCAATTGCCTAGACATCTCATTCCTAATGGGTTTAGTACCACCCAAAAACTCTAAATATTTTGAGAGAGAGAAGTTCCTTAAACAAAAGAGATTGGATTTAAGGTTTACAAGAATCCACGTGAAATTTATAAGAAATTTATTCTATAATTTCTGCGGGAATATCAGGAGTTTCAATATACACTACACCACATATAAATGTCTAAATATATCTGGAAGAAAAAATGTATCACCTTTAAAAAAAAAAAGAAAAAATGGTATAAAATGTAACAAACAAAAATAAAATAAAAAAATTTGATATTATATCGTTTTCCTTGTTATTTTATATAGTTTGATACTATAAAATCCCTCAACAAAAAAAACATTTAAAGAAATTTTATTATATTGGAACTTTCTTTTCTGACCTTTAAATTTCGTCTATTTCTATTTTATTTATTCTAGTTTGCCTTTATCATAACGACAAAATTTATTTTAATCAAGTTAAATCGAACTTTTTTTTTTTTAAAAAAAAAAAAAGTTAGTCAAGCTAGTCATATATAAATTTATTCATCACCCTCCTTTTTTTCTTATTTTTCTTCTTTCACGAACTTACAAGTCTTTTGAGTAGGTTTTTTTTTTTTTAAAAAAAAAAAAAGTTAGTCAAGCTAGTCATATATAAATTTATTCATCACCCTCCTTTTTTTCTTATTTTTCTTCTTTCACGAACTTACAAGTCTTTTGAGTAGGTTTTTTTTTTTTTAAAAAAAAAAAAAGTTAGTCAAGCTAGTCATATATAAATTTATTCATCACCCTCCTTTTTTTCTT